ATACTGCTGTACGTATGAATAGATATGCAGGTGGCTGTTTTTACAAAAAATTGCGTCATTTCCACCCAACTCTCTTGTTTCTAAATGTTACACCAGATGAATTTCGCAGGACCCCCTCTTCCCCGCTGGGTCCGTGCCAACTCTCTTGTAGTCAGCACATTCCTGAACCAACTATTATACATCACGGTACGGTACACGGCAACCGCCACGGATGTCTCCAACACTCATGCCCGAAAATAGGCTCAATACCGCACTTGCTTGAGGGGGACGATGAGGTCAGGCAACTGTTTTCTGACCGAATCGATTAGCCCGCCAAAGGCCATGAGAGGCAGGAGGAGGAGCGGACGGATGGTGGATGGATGGATGTGGTGGATGGTGCTGAAGGTGAAAAAAAAATATACCACCTGACATGAAAAAAAAAACGCACGCAACCCCCCAAAAATCGATTGGCACACCAAAAGCTATGACAGGAAGGAGGAGGAGGAGGAGGAGGAGGGTGAGGGGGAGCGGACGGATGGGTGGGTGGGTGGATGTGGTGGATGATGCGAAAGATGCACAAAGCAACCACGCCTGGTAAACAAAAAAAAAGTAGAACAGTCTAAGGTAAGGCCCTCTACTAAATATCTAAAATAGATGGGTAGCGCCAGACCGATTCACCCCCCGCGCTATACAGGCACCCGCTGTATCCAATGCATTGTTCCATCTGTGCCAGCAATTCCACCAGTCCTTCGGTCACCCGCCTTGTTAGAGGGCGTACGACTACAGCCACTTCTCCCGCTGACAACCCCGACCATGCGCCCAGGGATGGGTATGAAGGTAGGTGCGTGCTTCTCGAAGCGTTTCTCTTTTGGTCTGTATCGACCGCGCTATAAAGCGAACCGGCTGACCAATGAAAACGCCTCGGCATCTGAGGTGTCTACAGATGATGTGTGTGCGTCTGTGTGTGTGTGTGTGTGTGTGTGTGTGTATTATTAGCTATTAGCATCGACCGCGCTAACCGGCTGACCAATGAAAAGACGTGTGTGTGTGTAAGTCGATATGGGTGAGTGATGTCGATGAGTTATGCAGCTGCTCTTTGGACCGCGGTGATCGGTGGTGTAAAACTGAGGGAGAAGAAAAACACACGCACAGATGTGCCAAACTGACGGAGTGGCGTCTTGTCTTTACATTTGGTCAGTCAGCCGGTTACACAGCGAAGTCGATGCTAACTATGGCACAAAAGAAGCTACAGCACTACCTAGCCATGATGGCTGTGGCTATACCAGCTGGGGTCCCACAGCTGCAAAGGAGGCCGCACAAAAGGAGGGAGACCACACACATAAGGGAGGATTCATGAGGATCACTTCTTCTCTTGTGTCTCCCCGATCTGCTGCCTGTGCTTGGCGCTACGTAGTTTCCTATCGACACAAGTAGGATCCAGCCGTGTCCATTCGATTGTTTTAGCGTACCTCTTTAGGGTAAGTTAGCCTGTGACCACGGGAATCGACCGCGTCAAGTGTTGGATCAGCACGGACATACGAAAGTACTGGGTAGAGAGAGATCGGAACGGTTTTTAATGTGAAGACAACAACAACAACAACAACATTCGATGACGTCGCCATCGAATGCTGCTCTCTATGTACGTACCGTATGTATGTAAATAGTTACCCACATCCCAAAGTATGTCCTTTGCAAGTTGGCACACCACCAACAACGTCGGGTGGTCGGTCGGATTCTCCGTAGTTTGAAAACACGTTGCAAGGTCGTATGCATACGGCACCCAACGTGGTGTGTGCGGTTTTCTTCCGGTGATCGACGCCACCACAAGGAACGAAAAAAGAAATACATGGATGCTTCGCGGACCTTAGCGCCCATTTTTAACAGCGGTTCAGGTTCGATGGGGTAACGGATGAGAGGAACGTGATTCGCAGCAGCAGCAGCACTCGAGGGTACAAAATACTCATCACGGAAAAGGACCAACAGGCCGATTGTTTTTTTTCCGGCTTGGTGGAAGAGCGCCCTGTGGGAAGAGACTGGCGGTACACTAGTTGTCTACTTGTATAAAACATTTTTCGACAAACCTCTAGCAACCGTGTCTATCTCACAGCGTTTCGGGGTCAATGGGGTTTTTGTCTTCGGGCCAGCCACGACAAACAGCAGAGAGAGAGAGAGAGAGAGAGAGAGAGAGAGAGAGAGAGAGAGAGGAATCCGGGTGCCTCACAATTCACAATGACCACACAGAAAAAGATAAGAGGGCGCATCCACAACAAGCATCCACAAATTTTGGAGGGATTGAATGCATACAAGCAATCAACCTTTTTCGCGGAAACGAAGAAAGCAAACGAAAATCACGAGGTGGACAGGTAGATGTTGGGGGTGAAGCAAATGCAAGCCCAGTCAGTGGTGTCAATACAAGAATGATGACCTCCACTTGTTGTGCAT